GTACTCATTTTTTTCCTCTTTTATGATTTTTAAAGCCATCAGCAGGGTCCAGAACTTTCTCTGATGATTTATTTATGCTTCACAGCCACCATGCTTCCAAGGACCATAGCCCACCTAGGTCATCCCTCATGCCAGGAGGAGAGCAGAGCCATATCCACTGCTGTTTTCTTGCTGCTTGGATAAATGCTCAGATAGGCAAACCCTCCACAGGAGGCTAAAGATGAGATTCTGGAGATTCATGTCCCATTTACTTACCCTTTTACACCATCAAGGGTGTTGGCTGGAGAACACTGCTCTGTCAGGGCTTGGTGTCCTGCCACAACAGCAGAAACTGGCTGGTGGGACAAGCCCAGGGCAGGGCTTGATCCCAGAGCTTCCCCAGTCTCCTCCATGCTTGTTTTATCTCAGCATGTACCAAAAAAGGACCTCTAAGTGCCTGAAAGACCTAGGTGACAGGAGCAGATCTAAGATGTAGATATTTCTGTCTGGGTTTTCCTTTGCAGAAATTAGCCTCAAGACTGTGATAAGGCTCTCCTATCAGTCTCCTTCATAGTGAACAGAGTAAAAGAGACTTCATTAGAAGAGATTCAGAGCCCAAATCTCTAGCAGTGTGTGCAGGAAGGCACCCTCAGGACTTTCTTTTCCAATAGTAGCAGCAATCAGCAGAGATCAGCCTTTAGAAATACCCACCATTTCTCTACGTATTTTAGCCAAGACTACTGAGGAGCTGAAATCAGCTGTGATGCAAAATTCCCTGGGGGGGGGCAGCTCCTAGCTTGAACCCAGTTCTTTCCCAGACTGAGCAGCCTCGTCCAACCTGTTTGGCCTTTCTGCTTGCTCACTTGTCAGAAGAAGAAGAGATCTTTTGAAAAGCTGAAAGTACAGATTTTCATGCAATCGTCACGTGATTCCAGTAGCTTGGAGTCCATGCAACCAACAAAAATTGCAAGTCCTCATGACACTGAAATAAACCATGTATCATAAGTATGTGTATGAAATGAACCGTGCACCACAAATAAAACTCTACCATATAAAATTAGAAAAATAAGGTGTAACTCCCACCTTCACAAAAATATTAAGAAACCCCAGACATCAAGAGCGTTCTTCTTAGGAATGAGGAGTGCAGTGCCATATTCATGGGTGGATTATGCACTGCCAAATGCAAAACACCAGGATTACCAGCATCACAAAGGTGTCAGTATCTGGCTTTTCTGTAGCACTCTTAACTAAGGTATCTGAGGTTTTAGAAAGAAATTACTTACTGCATTCCACATTACACTAAATATATACGTACAGTTCTGCTTTTCACTCTGTATGTTTTCAGGCTTGGATGGAGCGGCCAGCCCAGAAGCCCGGTGGTTTATCCTGTCCCACTATAATTAGCCCTGGGTTGTTGCTGGTGGTATGCCATTTGTCTCCCCACACTCAGCACTGTTTGGTAAACATTTTCTGGGATAGAGTTGTTCTCCCCTGATCTCCGTAGGTGGTGCTCACTTATTTATCCCCAGCACCCCTGAATTATCCCTCTCTCTTGAGGCTGAAAGGTAAAAGAAGTATCAGAAAAAGGGCAAAACCTTGCAGAAAGGGGGAAACAGCTGCAGCAAGAGCCACGGCCCAACAGGGATGCAGAGGCAGGAGTCCAACTGCAGATCCGAGGAGCTAGCAGACATCTGTCCCCTGCAGAGTCACCCCCCACACAGAGGCAGCAGGAGGAATTCCCTGCTCCTCCAGGGAGAACCTGGCACACAGCCACAACATGGGAAGGGTTCGAGTGGCCACAGCAAGCCTCAGCTCCCAGTCTGGTGGAGGAAAGAAGGTTGGAGTGCAGAATGGGAAGCAGCTGTTCACAGACCTCCTGGGAATGTGAGAGCAAAGCCGGGTGACACAGAGCAAGGATAGGGCCGCTGATGGAGGCACGCTGGGTGGGAGGTCACTGCAACAAGGATATGTGGCTCTGAGGGGAAAGGCAGCAGCTCTCAGCCCACGGGCATCACCTCTGCAATGCATCAGTGCACAGAGTGCTTTCTTCATGATGATGGCATGAGGCAGGCACAGGAGTGACTCCCGGTACCTCAATGGTTTGGCCACCACTTCCTTGTTCTTAAAGTCCCTCCCTTCTCACACTCTCTCAGTCCCAAATCATTATTTGTATGTTATGAAGAGAAGACATTTAAAAGGTACAGGAAGATGAGATGGTATTAGGAGTTAGGAGCAAGGTCAGCCCATTGGAATGGCCCACAGCATCTCATCAGCATTTATCATAAGCTTTGTTCTTTCTTCAGACATTCTCCAGCATCCCTCCCATGCCAAATCTGAGCAAAAAACTGAGGCACACTTGGTGACAGGCACATTCTCACATTGCCCTGTCTCAATAAGCACATGGTCATAGTGATAATTCTCCCAAGGAATGTCATTTTCCACCTCCAGTTGTCTTGCAAGTGAAACCCTGAATTGCAGTGTCTTCACACTCAGCCCAGTATTCTGCTTCTAATCTACAGGCAGCAGAGGTGTGCATATATGTGGATCTCTGTGTAGATGTGTGTGGAAACTACATGCACTTGTGGTTTTCTACATGCTGATGCTTTGTGTGGGGAGGAACATTTCTGAGCCTCTAGAGTTTGCAAATACAACAATTTTCACAAATGTATGGATCTAGCTATACGAATGTGTTGGCACACTCTCATCTAAAGTTACCAGCGCAGATGTACATCTACAGGGGAGGCTGAAGCAGTTGCAGGCACCCCACAGAGTACTCTGGGTTCCCACTGCATGGTTTGTCAGCCCCAACACACATCTTTCTCAGGCCATGTCTCACTCTGACCCTCTGCTGTGAGCACATATGCATGCAATTTCGTAGCTTGCCTCTGACAAAACACAGTTAAAGAAAAAAACCTACTACAAAAACCCACAAACAGAAACCCACCATTAGTGTGAAATGTACAGTCCCCCCAAGAGTGCCAAACCAAGCTGGACTTTCATGCATGTTGCTGGAAGCACAAATAATGAGCAGCTGGCTCTGAGTTATTCAGGTCTAGGCAAATATATATCCCTATTCTTAATTATCCAAACCAGCACATTTCTTGTCCCCATCTACCAGATCAGACTGGCTGCAACAGCTGGATCTTCTTTTGCCAACCATTGGGATGCCTTACTTGTGCAGGAAAGGCCAAAAACATGGCCTGTTCCTCAGGGTGAAATCTCATGAGATGTATCCATCCTGGATCTCTCTTTGGCAGGACCTCTTTGGCTGTTCCTCGGTACTGTGGGGACCTGTAAAACATTGGAGCTATTGCAGTTATCACTAATTTCCCAGAAGACATTTCCAAGAATGGCTACAAAGTGTACATGTCTTTTGCTGTTTGTTTTTGATTCATGATGGACTCTAAGAACGTGATGTTTCCATCACCCATCCCAAGCTCACTACTCAGTTGGGTTTTGCATCACAAATGAAGAACAACAACCACAAGTAGCTGTAGCTCAAGGCTCCAGTAATGGGAATGCTTATTTTTTGCACACTTGGACTGGAATGTGTGAGAAAGTTGAGAGAAGTGCCTTTTCTGCTGTTTCTCAGCCTCAGTCCCGGTTAATCACAGGCAGATAAGTACATATGTATGTCCTTGATTTTGCTCAATCTTCATAATCATAGAATCGTAGAATCACTCTGGTTGGAAAAGACTTTAAAGACCATCGAGTCCGACCACACCCTAACCAAACTACCTTAACTCTAACAACCCTCCACGAAATCATGTCCCTGAGCACCACATCCAAATGGTTTTTAAACACATGCAGGGATGGTGACTCAACCACCTCCCTGGAGAGCCTATTACAGTGCTTAACGTAAGATTGAATGAGTTAAAAAACCATTGGACTCAAGGCAATGCAACAGTTGTTCCACTTTTCTAGCTATCCACTCTGTCTTACACAGCAGCCAATACCTACACCTTGTTTCTAAAAAATTCCCAAGATAAAGAACACCACAGTGGTTCCAACCCAAACTACTGTATTTTCAAGTTTTTCCCATGCAACGCAATTAAATGAACACTAATATTAATTTCTCTCTTTTCTCATCCATGCATTCTTTTTACACTCTGTTCGAACAGCAGTTCAGCAATGCTAATATTTAGATTTACACCCTTCAAATTTGCCTATCCTCTTTAAAGCTCAAGTATCTCATAGCAGTGAGTCACTTATCCACCTTTTTGAGAGTACAATGAGTGAAATTCTTTAAGCTTTCTGTTTTTGGCACAACAGCATTCCGATACAATCTAAGAATCACAGAGACACCCTCTGGTCCCACAAGAACTGGGGAACAGGTTTGTCTAGAAAAAAAAAACTGTTCCTCATGTGATGGGCACCCTACCAATCACACAGCACTCTCCTCCAGCAACCCAGGCTCCTTAAAGACCAGCCCAGGAGGGGGAAAGGGGCTTCTTGGGGAATTCGACAGCCAGACAGGTGGGTCTGGTTTTCTGCATTGCCAACAGAGAAGGGTGAGTACCTGGCTTCGGTCACTGTCTTCCTCTGCAGACAAAGAAGCAAAAAGCATCTGTTACAAGAAAAAGAGGTTTTTATGTTAAATGATTTCTATTTGAGCCTCTGGGCTGTGTTTAGTATGAGGGAGGCTGCTACCTGGATAAGGTTAACTGCCTAAGATTGTTAAGAGTTGCTTTTTTTCTTCTACTGCAAACTCTGCTTTCTGTATGGCTGTTTTAATTTGTTTATTTTTGTTTTTTTTCTCCTAAAGACTTGGGAGGAGGGAATGGGAAAATTAGATCTGTTGCCAACATATTTGAGTATCAAAAAAAGTCACTGTTGAGAAAGACAAATCCCCCTCACTTATGAAAATAGGAAAGGCAAGAAAAAATATCTCTTGTTTTGGTTCTGCTGAACTAATGAGGGAGAGAGGAAAAAACTGCCTCCCAGCTCTATATCTGAGGTAATTATGCCTGATGATTTACCAGCCGCCTCTCTGTACACAGAGGCTTTGTTTCATAGCAATCTCTCTCCAAAGGAAACTTAATTAGTCTCTGACCCCTGCTTGATGCTGAGCTATGTTTTTGGTTTACATTTCTCCCCCAGTAGTGTAAAATGACCGGCTGGTTCTTCCCTTTCTCAACATGGTTGGAGCCTGGTGACCACACTGCTCTTTGCCTGGGCTGACTGTGTGCTGCTGGCAGGTGGGCGATGACAGAGGAGAGTATGTGTGCTGGAGGTGTTCGCCTCAGGATAAATAGATGGCCAACCAACACCCTCAACCATCTGCCTCTATGCAGCAGGGTCCAAGAATTCATTGATAAGTTATTTAATTGCATTAACAACAATAACAATGGATTTTGTTTACTCAAGTCCTGCTGCATGGAAGCTCACTGTGGTGTGGAGTTGTGAAAGGGGCCTGTGTTTGGGGTCTGTGCTTGGGGTTTGTGACTTGACCGGGGGAGTCTTGTCCCGTGGCACCAGTACAGCCAGCAGCTTCACCTTGCCAAATTCCCTCCCCTGGCATCCTGTCACTTATCGTGCTTGTAGGGACAGTCTGTTCCTTGGGCGCAGGCAAGCCCGAGGGATAGGAGGAGAGGTGGCTGGATGGGGTGAAGGGCAGGGCAGGGCCCATGGGCAAGGCTGAGGCTTCAGTTGCTGAAAGGCCGTGTTTGTTTGGTTGCGCTTACATGGCTCTGAGCCTTTCCACTGAGGCATCTGAAGGCTGCAGAGCCCATGGGGAATTGCACAAATGGGCCCCTTGTCTGCGCTTCCTTACACCAGAGGAGAAGAATGCCATGCTATGCACAGGCATGCTGAAACGTGGGGTGGGAGCAGGGGGTGAGGCACAGCTCGGCTGAGCCCAGCCATCTCTCCTCGTGCTGCTCTCCAGATGTACCAATCTGTCCCAGCCCCTGTACCGCCATGCTCGTGATGGTGGGCAACAGCTTGAGTACCCCAACTGCGGCCTGTGGAGGGAGTAAGATGTCCTCCCTATGGCCTCCCACTGATAGCAAAGCAGTGGTGATGAAGGCCTCCACAGATCTTAGGGAGAGGGATATGTAGAGCAGAGTTGATCACAGCATGGTAGAGCCTGGAAGGGATCTCTGAAAGTCTCCTCCACCCAAATTAGGCTGTACAGGACCATGTCCAGATAGGTTTTGGGTATCTTCAAGGAGGGAGACTGTATACGTCTGGTGGAAGGGAGGGCAGTACCTCATGCTTCACAAGTGCTGGGGTGAGTGCTGTCACTTTGGAGAAACCCATGATGCTTACAGGTGTGTTTTTGGACGTCCGTTGGCTGGACTTTTGTGATTCCACCACAGCTGGCACAAAACACAAGGCAATCAGAACACAGCCTGCTTCTGCATGAGGCAGTGCCAAGTGCCAAGCCAATTTCTATTCATTGGCGTTTTTGGCTATAAATGGAGTGAGAGCAAACGAAAGCAAGTGACGTTCATCTGTAAGGCTATTGAAATCCTGTTTCAACCTGTAAAAATAGGATGCAGAGGCTTCAGAAGTTCAATCGGACCAATGGGCGTTAGGGACACACCAAAGACTGAATCGCCCCTGAATCAAGGCACTGGTGCCAGTAGTGACCCTGTATAGTGTTGGTCATCTTTAACTTAGGGGCAGGAGCCAGCCTTTGCAGAAAGGAGCTTGCTTTTTGGCCCCCACAACCTGCTGCAAGCCACTGTGAGTGGAAGAAGGGAGGAGAAATCGAGAAAGCTCTCAGGCCATGGAAGTAACATCTGCCTGCAGCCCCAGGAAACTGTTTGGGCTGTAAACTAACCTTAACCAGCCCACACAGAAGGCTTCCCTACTTCCAAAATTATTTCTGTCCTCAGGCACAAGCTGCTGGTGCCTGGGGAGGGACTGCCTCCCTGTGTCACTCTGGGTGGGTGGCTGTGAGTCATGCCTCTGTGTGAGGCAAACCCAGAGGTTGGTTTTGTGCCTCAGTATTCGTGCACCTGCCCTAAGTGCTTTGGCTTAATGCGGCTTACCTCTGAGGCGTAAGGGGTGGGGAAGGCCTACATCTCCTGCAGCTTCTTTTCTGGGGTGTGTTGGAGGGTTGGCTCTCAGCTGTCATCAGATCCAGCTGTTGTGATGACCTTGGAGCCCCTCCCCAGCCCTGCATCCCGATTATACGGGTCCATCTGAAGGGAGTGGAAGAGGGATTTCCATTGCACTGCTCGTTTTTAGGTCCATGATAAAGGCTCTTCTGCCCTTTTTCCATTTCCTGTTCTCTGTGCATTGTTTTACGTAACCAGCCCCACAGAGGCTTTCAGATCAAGCCCTCTTTCTCAGACTGTTTTGTCTACAGTAATACCTGCTCAAGGAGAGGCAAGAGCAAGTCAAGTCCTGGTTACAAGAAAGGGAAATTCTGGGAAGCATGTGGGTTGGGTGGGGAGTCCATGTGCAAGAGTCTCCATATTAATGATAAAAAAAAAAGACTGAGCTGTGCCAAGAGCAAAGCCAAGAGCAAGCCAGGTCTGGCATCCTTTTGGTCTCAGTGCTGTTGTTACAATGCAGGGGTTCCTGTAAGAGAGAAAGGTAGGAGAAAGAAATTTCTGTAATGCTAAGGAAAGGATTGTGGCTTTGTTAATCACAGGTGGAATGATGCAACATGACACAGAACCCAGCTCTCTGCATGGCAGCTGGAGCAGACCCAGTTTTTCATATGATAGAATTTGTGCACCTGTGTTCAGATCAAGGAGATATCGTTGCTTTTTGGACTGCCCCCTGACTTGCGATGACCCTTAGTCAGCAATAACTAAAGGCTTCTCTAAAGTCTCTGGACTGTGAGCAAGGATTTAGGCTGTAGCCTCTACAGCTTTCAGGTATGTAGAGGACAAGTGCTTGTCACACGTTTGTCAGGATCTGGAGAACACGTGGCCAAGCATTGCCCAGCCCAGATCTGAGTATTGGTGAGGCAGCGGCACAGGCTGCCCAGGGAGATGGTGGTCGCTGCCCCTGGAGGTGTTCAAGAATCACGTAGATGTGGCACTGAGAGACATGGTTAGTGTGCACGATGGTGATGGGTTGATAATTGGACATGATGATCTGATCATGATGGTCCTTCCAAACTTGATGATTCTATGATTCTGACCAGCAAGGCATTGTGTGTGACTCCTGGACATATTGGCTAGTAATAAATAGGGCAAGTTTGGCAGCCTGCCATCCACATTCAAATACAGCATCATGCAGCTTTAGATGTATTGGGCCAGCCTCCAACCACCTGGCTGGGAGTAAAAATGGCTTCTTATCTGGGAAATAATTGTCACTTGTGCTATCCTGGAAAAATACCTATGTGCTCTGCTGCTGCTTGTGTAGTGGTAAAAGCATTGGAGGTCTCTCCATGCCAAAACCTCAAACTGCTGCAGAAATGGTGATAGGAAATTCTGGCTTTTTTCAACTTCTCATGGTTCATTAGCAGCTACTGATGTCTGCTCTACTTTTTTCAAAAGTTTATTTGAAGCATCTCAGAGCTGGTAGCCCCAGGAAGAGGGGTCCCAAGTGCAGGTACTCCAGCGGGAAAGTCAAGCTTTTTTGCCTTTTGCCTGCTCAAGCGGGGCCCGCTTCAGCCTTTCTTTTATTGCCTGCATTTTCTTAATGACACAACACATGCAGCTATCTCAGGATTGGAGTTCTTCCTTGCCACGCGCACACATGCTCTGTCCCTTTGAAAGAAGGGCTTCATTGGCTCTGGAATTTGGGCTCATTTCTCCAAGAGGTCTCACACCTCAGAATAATCCTTTATGCCGCTCTCCCTGGAGGGAACTGATTTTAAGGTGGAGTGCCTGGGCCCAGCCTGCAGGATATAATGTTCTCAGGAATTTGATGGGAATGCTACTTGGCCCATCTCCCACAAGCCAGCTGCAGCCTAAGCAGCTCTGTCCCTCATACCTGATTGGGAAGGAATGGGAGCCCCAGCTTCAGTTCTCGGCAGGGGGGGGGAAGAGGGAAATATCCTTAGTAAGTGATGGCAAGCCCTGAGCCATAAGTATGTGTGTGGGATACAGCTCTATCTCTATGGTTATATTTGGTTCCATGCTAGTGCTGGCCAAAAGGGAATGGCCAATAAGATGTGTGATGTGCCCTGGAATAAATCTGGCTTCTCTGAAGGAGAGGTGAGGTGAGGAAACTGAACTCATTTGGTGTTCATCCCAGTAGCCGTTGATTCCAGCCAGATGGAAATGTGTCACCATGAGCTGTGCTTGTGCTAGGGGTCTGCATGGGTACCGGTGTGTCACAGAAAAAACAAGCCAAAAGTGAGTTGAAGCAACTGTCTGTGTACAGTCATCCCACTCTTGCGTAGCTCAACTATCAGAGAGCATTTCAGTTATTAGCTTCATGCCTCAGGAGGTTTTTCCTTTAAAACTACCATGAAGCAAGGAGTGGGAGGAGTACAGACAGATGGATTCTGTCTATCCTCTCTTCATGGGTAATTTCTGTTTCTAAATGAAGCCTATTGTACTGGTCTAACTGACGACTGTCTTTGATTTTTCTCAGGTTGCATGAAGATCTAAAGATGGCAAAAACTGACAATGGCATACGCATCTGTCAGGGTCTATTAATCCTGGGGAATGTGGTCATTGGGGTAAGTGAAGTGGGACGTGGATGGGTGGCAGCTTCCTTACAGTGTGACACTTCTTAACGCTTCCTAGCCAAGAAATCCCTTTTCACAGGTGAAGACCACCAGTAAAAAGAGCAATGTAGCATTAGGCAAGGGATAAAGGAGAGCTGTTCTGGCAGGTCAGTTGGGAAGGAATGGCAGGGGTTGATCCACCAGACCAGCTTGTCTCTAGAGGAACAGCCCTTGCTGCTGACCAACATCTTTCCAGCCAACTCCTTCCATATAGTGACAGGAAAGTTCGTGTTAATTTTATTCTTAACATTCTCAAGTTCCAGGCCTGACTTCTGAGGTCCAGGCTGGGTGAGTTTTGCTTGCAGTTCTTGTGTTAAGGATAATAAAAGGGGTTGCAGAGTTGGGCACAGGAGGAGTTGAGGAGCTCCTGCTGGCAGGAGGCTGAATAGAATGAATGCAATCTTCTTTTCACGACTCCGTTCTTTCCCTCAGTTTAATAGTTTTCCCTAATTTGTGCTCCTCAGATGTGCGGTATTGCCCTGACAGCAGAATGCATCTTCTTTGTGTCAGATCCCCATGGCCTCTACCCTCTGCTGGAAGCCACAGAAAATGATGACATCTATGCTGCGGCCTGGATCGGTATCTTTGTTGGCTTTGCACTCCTCGCTCTGTCTATCCTCGGCATCATTGGAGTCATAAAATCCAACAAGACTTTGCTACTGGTGGTAAGTGTAGCAATGTTTGCCCGTTGATTCCTGCCAAACTTAAAAAATATTGGCTTATTTGCCCTGTTTGTCTTGGTATTTACCGATCGAGTAAAGACAGCTTTTATTGGTGAAGAGAAGCCAAAGGTTCTTCTTGTCTCTGGCTGTGTTCTCCCACAAGGTGATATCTGTGAGGACACATGCGTGAGAAGCTCTGAAACTCGGGTGGGGGAATTAATAGCAATAACCACAATGACAGTAACCACAATGAAGGTTTAAACCGTGTGTCCTGACCCTGACCTGGCTCTGAAGCCCTGCAGAAGCACTTGTGCAATCAGATGAACCTGGGATGTGGTTTAGATTCTAGTTTCTTCACACTGCCTTTCAGCTGTCATGTACCATTTAGTTTAGGAGCTGATAAGTAATGACTTCTTTACAAGGCATTAGTATGTGTTAGTGTACCAAAAATGGGTGCAGCTGACATTTTGCATCAGCAAGCAAACAGAAATTACAGGGATGAGGATAGATAGCTTTGAATACACCAAAAACAATGTTAAGGTGCAAACAAACCTCTACAATTTCTTACTCAGTCCTCAACTTAGGTTGACAGTAGTTCAAATTAATTGGTGTGCACATTAAGGGAGGGTAGAGTTGAAAACTCTGCAGTCAGCTCTATCTTGGCTTAATGTAGGGTGGCAGGGTGTCTGTTTTAAAGAGGAGACAGAGATCTGAGCTCTCGTGCCAGAAAATTCACCAGTAACAAGTGATGGAAGAGAATTTCCTTAACTCTAAATGTTGATGTCTTGACTGAAACCCAAGGCTGTAGTACAGGGCAGAAGCTACTGAAAGAAGAAAACAAATGCCTTGAATCTGGGAAAAACATTTTGAAGTGTAAGAGGAAAAATGGAGGCATGAGAATTGCACAGGGAATACAGAAAAGACTGAAAGGGATTGCGTTGAGAAGGGAAGAGAAGCAGTGAAACAAACTGTGAGTGGTGCTCTTGAGAATCAGTTTTCATGAAGGTCCTTTCCTTACAAAGCATGAGTCAGGAGGATCTGAACAACACATTAAATTGCACCTTCTCTTTCCCTGAAGTACAGTCTCTCCCGCTAGGATTGACTAGCTTCTTGCTGAGAAGCTTCCAGCTTGCAAACAGAGTAATAACTTGCCAATAAGATGCAGCAAAGAAAATGGCTGATGTTCATCTTGTGCATATTGAGCAAAGTATCATCCATGAAGATAGAGTAGGATTAATGCCATTCGACAAGTTTCTGATGATATTATGTCTGTGAGATGGATTACAATTCTGGTTGTACACCTTCAGGAAATAAGATTGCAAACTGAAATGAGCACAGATAAGGACTACATGAATGTTCAGAGGAACAGAGAAGACTGGGGACACTGATGCAGCTCAGTTTCTTTTGGCTTGAACAGGGTGTGGGGCTTAAACTTGAAAAATACAGAATGGGAATAAACTGCTTAATTTTTTCTCCCATAGCTGACTCTACTCTCTCTCTCCAACAGTATATTATTTTGATGCTGATCACTTATGCATTTGAAATGGCTTCTTGCATCACGGCAGCAACTCACCGAGACTTTGTGAGTATTGCCTTTCTCATATCTTCATGCAACTGCATTGGAATATGTTGCAGTTTTACGGCATGCTGTTTCCTGTTTAGTGGAGTAAATGGCCTGTGTGGTGGGTGGTACAATGTAAGTTCAAAGGACTGCTGCTGAGTTAGAGTAAGACCCCACAAGGAAAGTATCCAACATTCATTCTAATGAAGGAATTATCTTTGTTGTTCTGAAGAGAGTTTTGCTATTTTTGATGCTCCAAAATGTTTATAACCTTGCAGCTAAGGAAATAAAAGTGCAGGTTTGCTGAATCATCAATGCAGCACTTAGTCTTTCAGCTAGAGGCTGATTAATCTCTCATACAAACCTTCAGCATCACAACAGGCAGTGTTCCTAGTGAGGGAAAGATGACATGGGTTATTGCAGGTATTGGTGGGGAAAATGACCTGGAGGCTCTTCAGCTCCAAGCAATATCAAATGTAACCCATGGCTTCTGCACTTCTCCTTTGATCTGACATCTGGAAGGACAAGCTTAAGAGTCGTTCTCTGTGTCTTTCTTGCTCCTGCCCCTAATATCTTGCTCTTTAGCCTCCTCTGTGTAAAACTGGGAGTGGTGGGGGGAACAGCATTCCAGTTCTCTAGCTGGATACTGAAGCAAGCAAATTCACCCACATATTTGCTTTGCATGGCCACTTATTTACGTAGTTCCTTCACTCTTTTCTGATAGTTTTTTTTTTTGTTGTTGTTGCTGTTGTTTATTTGTTTTCTCCTGCAGCTTACTCCAAACCTCTTCCTGAAGCAAATGCTGGAGAGGTATCTGAAATCAGATGCAGACAATAACAATGACAAATGGATGACCGAAGGGGTCACACAGACATGGGATAATCTCATGCTTCAGGTAATAATAACACTGAATACTATCACTAATTTCTAAATGCTCTGCAGCTCTGGAATTTCAAATCCTCCTCAGACCCACTCAGTAATAAAAAGGATAGCATCTGCCTTGAACCTTAGACAAACTCCTGACACATTCCCCATTTTGCTTGTTTATCAGACGGCAGGCTGGCAAAGGCAAGCACTTCAAAAATCTCTCCCATAAATCTGTGGTTAATGCCTAACCATATGTAGGGGCCAGCATTGTGCAGGGCTGTGACCTTGGCCCATGAAGTTTCCTTCTCTCACCCCACAGAACCAGTGCTGCGGGGTGAATGGGCCCTCGGACTGGCAGGACTACACATCTGCTTTTCGCGTGACGCACAACGACGCCGACTATCCTTGGCCACACAACTGCTGTGTCATGGACAACCGAGGTGAACCCATCAATCTTGATGGCTGCAAGCTTGGGGTCCCCGGCTTCTATAACAGCAACGTAAGATTTTCTCTGTTTTTTCCAGTTAACGTGTTAGTCTAAAGTGCCTTGCTGGATGGAAAGGAAATAGGGAATAGCCTTCCTGCTTTACTGTAAGCTACAGGTGTCCAAAAGTTTTCTGAAGAAGCAGCAGTGCTTGTAGGTTCCTGACTATGTAGAATACAGCACAGATTGTGGTAAAGGCTTTTCTGACTATTAGGAATAGTCACATAATCAAATGGAAAAGACCTCTAAAATTATCAAGTCCAACTGCCAATCTATCTCCACCATGGCCACTAAGCCATGTCCCTCAGTGCCACATCTACATAGTCCTTCAACACCTCCAGGGACAGTGACTCCACCACTTCCCTGGGCTAGCCTGTACCAATGCCTCACCACTCTTTCTGAGAAGAAATGTTTCCTAATATTCAACCTGAATCTCCCCAGGTTCAACTTGCAACCATTCTCTCTTGTCCTATCACTGTTACCCAGGAGAAGGGGCCAATCCAAACCTCACCACCACCTCCTATCAGGGAATTGTAGAGAACAATGAGGTCTCCTCCGAGCCTCCTCTTCTCCAGACTGAACAATCCCAGTTCCCTCAGCCACTCCCCATAACACTTGTGCTCCAGGACCCCCACAGCTCTGTTGACGTACTCTGGACACACTTCAGTGCCTTAATGCCTTTCTCAAGGTGAGGAGACCACACTTAACAATGTGTGAATTGGAAGAAAATTATTCCACTGCTACCGATATGAAGCAGTACCTCATACACGCAGGTGGTCACCAGCTAAATCAAACACTGCCCAAAGATGAGTGCATACATGAGTGAGCAAGACAGCAGTTCTCCTCCTCTAGGCAGCTGTCAAAAGTAATGGAGAGCAGATGGCAAGAGAAGAAGAAGGGTTATCCTCTGGCATTGTGCCCCAGGAAATGAATAGTAGGGCATCTCAGAGAAGTGCTTCCTACAGTGAGATCCATTTACTGAGCACATCACTTGCTGAACTTTACAGTTAACCAGCTTTTCCTGTTCAGACTGATTGCTGGGTCATGAGCATGAAGTTCTGCACTAACAAGAACTTCCAGAAGATGTTCAGGTTTCCAAACTTGCCTATACCTTTTGGATTCAGGAGTCCAGCTCTATGTTGACTGTCTTTGTGTTCAGCAAGTGGAAAATTGTCCTTGAAGTATTTAAGATGGGTCTGCTTTGTATCTGCAGTTAGAAACATGCAGGTTATCTGCAAGTTGTCAATAATCAGTGTAGTTCTGGCCTGTCTTTTTGAATTACTCAAATAACAATAGGAGAGGATCATGCCACTTTACTCTCTCTTGGAGATGGATGGGCTTGTAACTGAGGAACAGAAGCTCAAAGCTTGTGTTGATTCATGCATGGTTGCCTTACAGGGTTGTTACGATGCTATTTCTGGGCCACTGAACAGGCAAGCCTGGGGTGTTGCCTGGTTTGGTTTTGCCATCCTCTGCTGGACTGTGAGTACTTACTTTTTGTTTTTATTTCCTCTTCTCTTTCCTTACTCTTCCACACCCACCTGGGTGGAGGAGGATGACAGGGCTGAAAAATATCTAAAGATGATATTTATTTCTCACCAGCATGCTTGTAGCCTGCTCCACTAGCAGGATTACATGCTAATGTTTCCCGTCATCCCTGGCTACCACGCTGAAGGAGCTAGATGGCCTTCAGGCCTGCAGTGTCCTGCTGCAATCTCAGTAACACAGCATAACAAACAGCTTGCAGATTCTTGTTTTCAGAGGGTATTGGAACATCTAAACTGTGATCGTGAGAGATAATTCCATTTCTAGTTTGAAGACTTTGCAGAAGTGTTTCAAATACTTAGGGTTCAGCAGTTTCGTGACAGATAATCCCCAGTGAGCTGAGTGATCTGGTCAAACAGTTATGTCTGCACACATCTTTCTGCGCTGTGAAGTTTCTGTGCAGATAAAAAAGCTTTAGGCTCCCTGTTCCTGAATGAACTTTGCTTATCAAGTATTTCTGTTGTTCTCTCCTATCAGTAGGATTACATGGGACTGGGGGGAGAGGTGTGGGGAAGGAATGAGGACAAGAGAAACTCACTAGTCTTGTCTTTTCAGTTCTGCGTCCTCCTCGGAACCATGTTCTACTGGAGCAGAATTGCATACTGAAGGCTCAACATCCTCAGCCTTACCATGAAGCATTCTTTGAAACTGCATTCACTCATCTCCTGCTCCATTCACCTTGTGCCACTGGGGACCTGAAGCTTTCCCTCCATCTCTCCCATATTGCTTTAGCCCCTCAGAAAACATGACACACTAATGTCACACACTTCTTGTCCCTTCTTCTGCTGTCTAAATGTCTCCTGGCTGAGGTAAAACCTTTATTTTGCTGTGTGAGAAATCCTTGGAGCTAAGACACAATCTGATTTGTTCTGTGATAGCATCACAGAGGAAAATGTCCATCTATAGTTGCTCCAGAAAAGTCCCTCTCTAAAACTAGGCTGAAAGTAAATCACAATGCTATAGGTTCTGGCAAGAACTGCCTGAATAAAGCTGTAACCTCCTGTGACCAATAAAGGCGGGTGCAGCAAGGGAGAAGACTGCAGAACTCTCTAATATATTTTATCTTTCAACTTCTGTTCCTGGTATCCATCACTCCTTGCCTTAAAGTAAGGAAGATTTTCTAAGAGTTTAAATGTGTCAGCAGCAAAGACATATCACAGATGAAAAGTCTACTGCTAGCCAAGCTCAATGAAAGACTAGCTCACTCCTCTGCAATGTGCTGCCCGTGTTCAAACCCACCTCCCTGTGAAACTACTGCTTCTTCTCTACCTTCAGAAGTGCCAGACCATGAAAAATTCCACGAGCAACTCCATCAAAATCTGCACGTGCTTCACACAGGATTTCACTAGAATATGTGCAGAATACAAGGGGTCCTGTGCTCCAGCTGGCTTTGTGGCAGGGGCTGTCCCACACCCCTCAATCACCCTGCTGTCTACATGGATGTGCTCATGTCCTCCTTGCACTCCCCACCCCACATCCCCAGATCAGGCAGGCCAGGCAGCAAAAAAAAAAAAAGGCAAAAATCTTGTGAAAAATGCCAACAGGGTGCTCTCCAAACCAAATCCAGTCAGTTCAACTGCGGTTCACTTCGGCACAGGCTGATCTGGTGTCTTTCCGAGTGGATGCTTCAGTTACATGTTCGTGCAAACATCCTCTGGGGTAGAGCATTTTAAGGTGTGCTGTCTCAGATTGTGACAGTTTGCCAGCTACTTTCATTCCTTGTTTTTGTATATTTGCCAAAAATGACAATTAAAAACAAGTGGAAGTAAAAAAAAATTTTACTCTCGCTCGTGATTCTGTGTTTGGGAAGAGGAAATGAAGGTTTCTATCTGGGACCCCCGGGACTGTGAGGAAGGCCTGAGTGCTCAGAGCCCTAATGCAAAGAAGGTGTGCAGGTCAGTGCTCCCTCACTGGAGTACTGGGGGAGACAGAGAGGGCAAAAGGCTTGAAGGACAATCAGGTGCCTGAAGCACAGAGGGGTTTTCTTTATGTCTGTGTGTTCAAAAAGTAGAATCCCCATGGATCAGCCCTTTCAGAAGGGAAGACCATGTGGAAAGGTCACTGTTTCAGCTAGGAGGTGACTGTCCTTGAGGGTCTGGACTCTCAGCCATTTCCTTAAGCCTTCTGTCTTCAGCCCTTTTTGTGAGACTTGAGGACATGGACAGACCACAGGCACCACATGTGTCAGTGATCTGGGTTTGTTTTATACATGTCTTTCCTGTTTGTTTGTTTGTGTGTATGTAACTGATAGCTAAATAAATCCAAAGATTTAGTTAGGCAGCAACAGCAAAGACTTGCCTGAATGCTCTTTCTTGAGAACTGCAAATCCCTACCTACTGCAACAGTAGAGAAAAGAGGAATGGGGGAGGAGGGACAGCACACTGCCTCTATCTTTGCTTGGGCAAATCCCTCCAAAACCCTCTCAGCCATAGCAGCTTTGCAGAGAGCTGCTCACCTGCCTACAGATCTCCTGCTTGGGTTATTTCTGCAGGCCAGGTAGCTCTGGAAATAAGCCACATGTCCAGGTATGGAACACACTAGAGACTTCTGCATATGGATGTGGTTGGAGATACAGACTGCAGTAAACTTTAAGATCATGGTAGAAGGTAAATTTAAATATTATTTCCTCTTCTGGTCTGCTGCTTCAGACCCAGAAGTCTCTTTCTTCTTGCAACATCTAAATATGCGGGGATTATAGCACAGCTCTCAAAATAGAGAAAATACAGCAGGATTTTATAGGAGAAGAGAAACTGAGACTATCTTGAATAGATCATTGCAATATTCACTGCTCCTACCAGTTGAAAATGATATTACTGACCTATGACGCAAATGGCAGTTTAAGCCAGCTAGATTCATAGAATCATAGAATGGTCTGGGTTGAAAAGGACCACAATGATCATGTAGTTTCAACCCTCCTGCTGTGTGCAGGGTCGCCAACCAGCAGACCAGACTGCCCAGAGCCACATCCAGCCTGGCCTTGAATGCCTCCAGGGATGGGGCATCCACAGCATCCTTGGGCAACCTGTTCAGTGTGTCACCACCCTCTGTGTGAAAAAACTTCCTCCTAATCTCTAACCTAAACCTCCCCTGCCTCTGTTTAAAACCATTCCCCCTGTCCTATCACTATCCAGCCTTGTAAACCCTTGTTTGTATCCACCCTTGTAAACGGCTGTTTATACACTCCCTTCAAGTACTGGAAGGCCACAATGAGGTCTCCCCGGAGCCATCTCTTCTCCAAGCTAAGCAATCCCAGTTCCCTCAACCTTTCCTCATAGGAGAGGTGCTCCAGCCCCCTGATCATCTTAGTGGCCCTCCTCTGGAACCACTCCAAGAGCTCCACATCCTTGTACTGGGGGCCCCAGGCCTGGATGCAGTACTCCAGTTAAGGTTAGTCAAGTTTACCTTTCGCTTTTTGGGCCTTTAGCTCACATGGCACATTATGCTTTAGAGTTTACAGAGAAAAAAATAAAACTTGTGATGAACCAGCAGTCTCTGAAATGGTGGATCTATGCAGAAGTGCCAAGCACACCACACTTCAACCAGAAAAAGCCAGCTTTAGCTGCCTGAACTAAGGTGGGAGAAGAAAGAAAGATGCTTTTCTGTTTTTTCAGCTTCTGACGGCTGATCCCAATCTCTACAAGTTCCCTACCTGAGATGCCAGGGGAGGGTGAGGAAGGGATGGAGCCCATGACAGGAATGATGGTGAACAGGTTTGTGTGTTGGCTGGGGCTTGTAAATAAATCCTATTCATTCTCAGCTGTTTGGATTACTGCTGGAAGTTGTGGACAAATCTGGTCATCGAAGCAGGCAATGTGCAGAGATACGCAAAAAACTTCTGGACTAAAACAAGATGAAGAAAAAAGTCCACCAGGTGGAAGTTGCATGGTTTGTTTGCATATTTGCTCTGCGTATTTTTTCTCTGTAGGTGTGAATATTCACAGTTCTCTCCTGGCAAAAATCCATGTTTAAATTCTCCCACAGTTCCCAACTGTATTTTTAGATTATTAATTTACTGCAATATTCCAATTCTGAAAAAGGAGTCTCACTCAGAAATATCCTTTATTCACACTTGACTGAGCAGCTTGACCTCTAAGATCCCAAGTGTCTCAAATCCTGGCCACCCCCCTTCAATACATGAGCACCAAAAATCCCAACACTCCCTCAAATTACTGAATGTTTGTAGCCAGCATTGCTGAAGGTCTTCATTCCTTCCTCCACAGGCCTGCCTTTGTCCTCATTTCTCCAGCAGGCTCTCCTACTCCTCTCCTCCTTTCCCCTCACTTGTCCTTCACCTGCATGAACCACCTTTGCAGTCCCTTTCTCAAGCCCCATCTCTCTTCACTTCACTGGTTCACTCACAGCACATGATGCCATGTGTGTTTGCATCCAGCTGCCAGCTCAGTGTATAAACCTGCACCAGGCTGTTGGTGGTGTTCAGTATCCTCTGACTCAGATGATTTATTTCCCATCCTGCTCACTGTCCTGCCATCTTCATTTTTTGCATTCCTTACAAGAGGGACTTGTGCCAAAAAATGCTTATTGGGACCAAGCGTGACCTAAAACAAACTCATAAACGAAGCCTCCTTCTTCTACCCCGTGGCAGCCCTGCTCTCTCTAGCAACTGGGGAAAACCTGAGCAACGTGTGGTATGCTGGGAACCTCCTGCAGGAATTCTCCCTAAGATCTGTGTCATCCATCTTTAGGAGAGCCCGCTGCCTGGCGAGCTTAGGATGACTGCTGAGGGTTTTATCCACAGCAGAAAAAAAGGTGAGGGTGTTTCTGACTATGTGGGCTTGCACGCGAGGTGAAATTCCAGCACAGGCAAGGTCATTAGCAGTTCCTGCATGTGCACTGGTGGAGATAAACTCTTGAGAGAACCAAGTGATGGGCAGCGAGCTGCTCTGTCTGCTTGGGGCTCATATTGAATGTGAGTGCAGGATGAAAACCTTCCATCTCTCTCTACTTTTCAGGCAATGCACACCACCGACTGCACTCCTTTTCAGGCAATACACACCGATGGCACCGAGCTGGGAGAAGGTAAAACAAAACAACTACAGTTTGTGAGCGCTTGTTTCTTCTAATCTAAACTGATTCTTACAAAGGAGGAGGGAAAGAAGTCACCTAGAATAGTAGAATCATAAACTCATTACGGTTGGAAAAGACCTCTAAGATGACCAAGGGCAACCGTCAGCCCATCCCCACCATGCCCATTAACACAAATCCCTCTGTGCCTGTAAAAGACCAAGAACGAACACTTTCTGACATTTTCCAGATTGGTTCAACTCTTATGGCTTATGGGGGTTTTTTTCTTCCTTTTCAGGTTTCACTTTTCTGCAAACTTTCCTTCTTTAATAATTATCATATGTGTTACTCTCCTTTCTCCAGCTCTGGTTGTTCTCATGTTCCTGTTCCTCGTGGTTTATTTTTGAGCAGAAACTGAGCTTTCTTTGAAGTCATTTCCTCTCACTGAATTAAAATATTTCCTGGTCTTTTCAGATAAGGGATTTGAATGCTAGAGAAATATGTGCTCCCTGCAGCAGATGTGAGAAAACAGGTCCGGTTTTAAGATGTATCTGGACCCAAAGTACAGGACATAATTCTTGTGAATTTACTAGGTATGCAAAATATGACTTATCTCACTCCGCAGTTTGCAAATACTACATGTGAAAGCAGCCACCCTTTTTCCTTATGGAAAGACCCAAACGCTCTTGTTTTAACACTCATGTTCTACCTAACCTCTGGGGAAATCAGGACCCAGCCAGGTGCAAGCTTCACAGCTCCTGTTCATTTCTAAGCCTAAACACGTGAGATGAGTTTTTTGAAGAACTGATCCTGCTCAGAAAGAAAATGTACTCCAAGATCTCACTGCCTTTCTCCATCCTGGGCATTACCATCGTGTTCTTGTTGCTGCCTTGTGCCAGATCAACTTAAGTTTCCCCCACTGGGATAAATTTCCTTCCCTCACTGCCTGCCTTACTTTTGCCGCCAGCTGACCTCAGATTCCAACCAGTGAGATACCGGAGAGGCATGTCCAGCTT